AGCAGTGTAAGAATAGATTACTACAGGTGCCACAGAGCAGTATGTTTCACATGGGGAGGCAGTGGTCACAAGAGACTCCTTAGTGGAGGACCCAAGCAAAGTCTTCAAGGATGAATGGATGTTCGTCAAGTAGGCAGAGAGGAGAGTGTGTTAGGTGGGATGGTGTTGAGGAGAATGAAACACAGTGCTTCTAGGTCCAGCAGATGTAGGAGCCCCAGGAGGCCACTGGGGAGTGCCCAGTGCAGAAGCTGCCGTGACTACCCCCTACCCAACACACAGCCATTGGCACTTTCCACTCCTCTCCATGGGATCTCTGTAGTGTCACCTAAGCATTTAGAGCACCCCGAGCCACTGCACAGACCCCTAGGATATGCCTCAGCTATGTCCTCAAGCACACGGAAGATATGCATACAGTTAGCAATGGAGGGGGACCATTTGCTAGCTGTCAGTCTGCAGGAGGGCGAGGCCAAACACTACCTGAAACTGCTTTGGTGCCAGCCTCTGTTCTAAGCATTTTGCCTATATTAACTCCTTTAACCCTCAAAATGAACCAACAAGGTAGGTACTGTTATTTGTTCCATTTTATCATTGGGAAAACAAAGGCACAGGGAGGTTAAGCAACTTGCTTGAGGTCGCACAGCTAGAATATGGTAGAGGGAGGCTTAAAGACGAGGCAGTCTAGTCCAGAGGTGGGGCTTCTAGTCACCACATTACGCTAGAAGCATGATGAGGTAGAGAGTCACAGTGTTTACTGTTTCTATGGGTGTAAATACCACTTAAAGTTGCCTTGTCAGGAGAATTGGAGACCTACGTACAGCTAAACCTCTTCAGTTTTAGGGTCCTGGAGACAGAAAATCTAAAGACCATCTGCACACGAAGGTTGCAAATGTAATTCTAGTGGGTTGTGGGTCCCCCAAAGCCTACCGATGGACCCTACAGGCCTGTGAACTTGAGGATAATGGGTGTGAGATTTCCAGTGTGGCTGGGAGATGGGGGTGGGGGAGGAAAGTGGGCTTGCTGGAGAGGGCAAAGCAGGAGGCAGAGTGGTTCTGGTGCCAGGGACAGGCCCAGCTGAGCGCTGATGATGTGCCGGCCAGGCTGCCCAGCTCCCTGCTTAGTGCTTTGGAGATGAGAGTACTTGGCTTCAACTCTGAATCATCTCTTGCTATTTCTTTACATGTTTTTGCAAGAAAGAAATCTTTATTTGGAATGATTCGCCAACACCTTATAAATCAGGAGATACACAAAACAGACTTCAAGGAGCTATAGAAACCCACAGAGACACAGAAGCTATAAACGCAAACTGTTTCCAAGGGCCCTGTAGCAAGGCCTGTCTCACATGTAGAGAAAATTAAAAAACAAAATCAGCTTTTTAAGAGATAGGGAGATTAGAAATCTAGCTAATATATGCACAGCTGTTTTCTTTTTTAATAAAAGGAATCAAGGTAATACATACACAGGATTAAAAAGTAAGAAATCTGGAAAGTCCAGCAATAAAATCCAACAGCTGTGTCTCTCCCCAGTTGAAGTCCCAAACTCTAAAGGTAACTACTTTACTTCTTCTGTTTTTACTGCTTCTGGGAGCTACCTCCTTACCTCTAAAGAACATGCTTACCTTCTGTTGTTCTGCTCTGACAGACTAGGATTTAGATATGCCACCACCCTGTGACCCCACATTTCTTTAGAGCTAAAGTTTTATTTTTTGCTCTATTACATTGGTTAAGAATGTAACTTTGAGGCCAGGCACCGTGGCTCATGCCTGTAAACCCAGCACTTTGGGAAGCCAAGGCAGGCGGATCATGAGGTCAAGAGATCGAGACCACCCTGGCCAACATGGTGAAGCCCCATCTCTACTAAAAATACAAAAATCAGCTGGGCGTGGTGGCACATGTCTGTAATCCCAGCTACTCGGGAGGCTGAAGCAGGAGAATCGCTTGAACCAGGGAAGCAGAGGTTGCAGTGAGCTTAGTTTGTGCCACTGCACTCTAGCCTGGTGACAGAGTGAGACTCTGTCTCAAAAATAAATAAATAAATAAAAATTTTTTTAAAATGTAGCTTTGAAATGCAGTTGGCCCTCTACCTGCGTGTTCCAAATCCTTGGGCTCAATCATCTGCAGGTCAAAAATATTTGAGAAAAAGATGGCATCTGTACTGACCACGTATACATTTCTTCTCATCATCCTCTAGAGTATAACAACTATTTACATAGCATTTACATTGTATTAGGTACTATAAGTAGCCTAGAGATGATTTATGTGGGAGGATTTATGATTTATAGGGGAAGAATGCATGAGTTATATGCAAACACTACACCATTTTATATCAGGGACTTGAGTATCTGCAGATTTTGGTGTCTGTCGAGGGTCTTGGAACCAATCTCCCATGGATACTGAAGCAAAATTGTATATATACTTCAGTCTCTATCTCTTGTTCATTCAGTTTTTGCAAATTTCTCATTTCCCTACTTTATAGATGAGAAAAGGAGGTTCAGAAAGATCATCCCTTACCCAAGGCCACACAGTTGGTAAATGGTAGAGCTGGATACAAGCCTAGGTCAGCCCCTACATGCTCAGACTACAACTACTGTGGTCCCCGAGACATTTTTGCCTGCCACCTAACCCTGAAGGGGTCAGCCGCTATTTTTACACCTATTACTATGCAAAAAGAGTAGTCTCCCCCAGGACTCAGCTCTGTTTTTGAGTTAAAATACCACATTAGCAGGTGGAAGAAGGCGGTTTACAGAACGGATTGCAGAGAACAGTGGTTCAGTCCCTGAAGTCTCGGGCCCATTTGAATGCCCTCATTCTCTTGTTGCCAGGAAGCAGGATTAAGTGGTGGTGGGCACCTGTAGTCCCAGCTACTTGGGAGGCTGAGGTAGGAGAATTGCTTGAACCCGGGAGGCGGAGGTTGCAGTGAGCTGAGATGGCACCATTGCACTCCAGCCTGGCCAACAGAGTGAGACTCCATCTCAAAAACAAAAAGGTACTCCAAGGCCGGGCACAGTGGCTCACACCTATAATCCCAGCACTTTGAGAGGCCACAACAGGCAGATCATCTATGATCAGGAGTTCAAAACCAGCCTGCCCAACATGGTGAAACACCATCTCTACTAAAAATACAAAATTAGCTGGGCATGGTGACGCACGCCCGTAATCCCAGCTACTCGGGATGCTGAGGCAGGAGACTCGCTTGAACCTGGGAGGTGGAGGTTGCAGTCAGCCTAGACTGTGCCACTGCATTCCAGCCTGGGCAACAAGGGTGATACTCTGTCTGAAAATAAATAAAGTTACTCCAGGGTATTTGACAGCAATAGAGGTTGTCAGGTGACAACCTGCTCAGAAGTTCCCTGTCAGCACTGTCACTCAACAGTAGCAGGAGACAACAAATCTGTGGGAGTGAGTAGCTCTTTGTCTAGTGTCCCCCCCCAACTCTGGGAAGACATTAGAGGTCTCACTGGTGTCAGCCTCACTAGGAGTCTCCCTCCTCTGTGGAGCCGTGAAAGACTGTTCTCATCACTCTTTGATCATTTAAATACCAGACCAGACCTGGCTACAGCTGATGATAATTGTTTCTCAAGCTTTTTCAGTTTACCTAGTAGTATATCTGAGTACAGAGCCCAACCTGCAATGCTAGCACTTTGGGAGGCTGAGGTGGATGAATCACTTGACCCCAGGAGTTTGAGACCAGCCTAAGCAATGTGACAAAACCTTCTCTCCACTAAAAACACAAAAATTAGCTGGGCATGGTGGGGTGCACCTGTAGTCTCAGCTACTCAGTAGGCTGAGGCAGGAGAATCACCTGAATGTGGAAGGGCCAGGTTGCAGTGAGCTGTGATCCTGCCATTGCACTCAGCCTGGGCAACAGAGTAAGACCTGGTCTCAAAAAAGAATGCGGAACTCAAGGCCCACGGCAGCATCTACGCAGTGATGTGCTGGTAAATTTTTAACAACTGACTCTCCTTGAGGTGGTGGCCGATATGTAGCATTTACCAATTTCCATGGTGTAAATACTCTCACTAGAGTTGATTCTGAGCTACCCACCTGACTTCACTGAACATGAAATTGGAAAGAAATACACAGTAGCAATTCATTACAAACTATTTCCATCACAGATGTAATAGATGTAAATAACTCAGAAAGCATAGTAGTAAAATAATTAGAAAGTGATGATTTTTAAGAATGCTTAAAAAAATTGGTCATGTTTATAATTTGATCTTTAATAATGGCCATGTTTAACAAAATTCCTGAACATTTAACAGCCAGCTCTTGGGAGCTGGTACAAACCAATGTCAGCATACCACTGCTCTTGTGTACAACTTAGGAACTTGCCACTAGAACTATGGCAATGATTCAGGAGCTGGTATCAATGAGAAGAGAGTGGCCCACCTAGAAATTGTAAAATGCCCAGGAGCATGGGCTCTGGTCACACGGAGAGAGCAGGCCAAGGTGGGGTATATCTCTGAGAGATTTGAATACAGCTGGAATTTTATTCAGTGGACTCAGATGTGCAAAAAAGGACAGGCTTCTTTGCGATTATTCTTATCTTCCTCGAAGGCTTCTATTCTTCTGGTGGGGGCAGAGGGCTTCCACTTGTCTATGAAAGGTAACTCAGGAGAACTAATTTTCTCTGCATTCAGACAGTCTCTTCCAGATGATCTCGGCCCTTCTTGAATAATGATCTGGTCTTTCTATTCTCTCCCCACCCCTTGCTTGTTTAGCAAAGCTGGTGCGTTAGTTTGCTAGCACTGCCGTAACTAAGCACCACAGACCGAACGGTTTACACAATAGGAATTTATTGTCTCTCACTTCTGGGGTTGGAAATCTGAGCTTAAGGTGCTGGCAGGGTTGGTTCCTTCTGAGGGATGGGAGGGAAGGATCTGTCCCAGGCCTTTGTCCTTGGTTTGTAGCTGGCTGTCTTCTTCCTGTGTCTCTTCACATGGTGTGTCCTTCCTGCGTGCATCTGTCCCTCATGTCCTCTTTTTATAAGGACACAAATCATGTTGGATTAGGGGCTCACCCTACTTCCGTATGACCTCATCTTGACTGACTATATCTGCAACAACTCTGTTTCCAAAGAAGGTCACCTTCTGAGGCACTGGGGGTTAGGATTTCAACATAGGAATGGGGTGGGCACAGTTCAGTCCATAACAGATGGTATGCGGCTACAGACTCATGAGCATGGGAAGGCATGTGCTCGTGTGCGCATGTCCTCATGGGGGTGGAGGCCTGGAGGCCGTCCTCCACATCCTTCGTGGTTTTCACTGTAGAGTGGCTGCACTGGGTCAGGTTCCTGCCATCCCATGCCTGCCACATGCTTGCTCAACTGAAGCTGGTCCCACCTGGCCCTTTTGGCTTCCACATCTGTGTTTCCTCTAGGTCATTTGGTTTTCACATTTTGTGGCCTCTAGTTCTCCCCCAGCCTCTGGAATCCACTGGTTCTAAGGATTCAACCGCATAGGGCTTTGGACCCCCCGGCCGCCTCTATTTTCACCTTGCACAGTTCAGGGCTCCGTGAGACCTTCCTGCAGCACCCCTTCAGTCTGGGGGCCCCATGTGGGATGCAGACCTTCCCTAAGGCACTTAGGGAAAGAAAAAACAGCCCCACTACTCTGAAGTTTCCTAAACTTACCCAACAGGAGTCTTCTAAACCTACCCAAGCAGGGAGTGGGACATGCACCCCACTACCCCCACGCATACTATTTGCCTTCTACCTTCTGTCTCCTCCAGGCTCTCACACTGGAGATACAGTCTGTTTCCCCCAGATGAGTGGGTCTTCAGTTAGCTCTACCTAAGGTTCACAGTAAAAGTCAACATAGAACTCTTAGCTACACGTTTGATAGGTAAAGCAAACTTTTTAGAATTTTTCTCTACTCAAAACCAAGTCTTGCTTTCAAGAGGAGTGGCCTCAATTTTTTGATCATGCATTCCTAACAACAAAAAAATTTGAGCATGTACTTAAATATATTTGATATATTTGTGTATGCCATATATACTAATATATACATGGTTGTATATGTATATATGATTATATATATCTATATAAAAAGTACATATACATTTGATACTGTATTAACACATTACATGCTTTATAACACATACATCTCAAAATAGATATTTTAAAAGATAGGATAAAAAATGAAAATAAAAATTCTAATATTTGCTTTCTGTCCCCATTATGTTGTCTTAGGCACACCCCACTTTAAAGACCATTTTTTACTCCTATTTTCTTGCAAGGGATTAAAAAAAACAACTAATTTGGCAGCCAAAACTGAACAGTGCCCTGGTTGTTCCTAACAGTATCTCTCTTTCCCTGCAGTGTACAAACCTGTTGATTAAATGGGTGGGGAACCACAGAGCATCATGATTTAAGTGGAAAGAAAAATATACCTGTTCAATATATTCAAAATTATAAATTCTATTCCATTGAAACCAAATGCAATGGGCTGGCCCTGACTGCTGAAGCCTGAGAACAAGGGAGCCACCAGGAGTGCACAGGAAACAGGGCAAAAAGTGTTGAGTTCTATGTGTTGGAAATAAAAAAGGACAAGCAGTCCGAATCAGGGCTTTGCAGTGTGTCCCATGGGCTGAGCGAATTCCCTTTTCAACAGCATATGGCATTGCTAGGCCACATGGAAGTCCCCATGTCTGAACACCAGATCTGATTGTAGGTATAGTCATATGACATCCTTTAAGCATTTCCCACATGGGAGTATTTGAGAACCCAGGAAGTCAGAGGAATGAATTATAAAATTCTGTCCTTGCATTTCAATAAAGATCTTGGACAAAGACTGGGGGATTTCCCACAACTAG